TCCGAATTTGATTTTTTTTTTTTTTTATGTACCCTGCGAGACGTCACACTGCAACACCCTTGGAGCCTTATGCTCATTTATATGATTTCACAAGATATGAATCGACTCTATAAAAGTTGATGAGACGTTGCTCAGCTAGCCAAATGAGTACAAAACTCGCTGGCACATGACTTAGCAAACAGTGCAGTGATTGCATGCTATTGGATCTTCGTGCTAAAAGTTCACTGGTAAGTGTGTCAAGTGAGGCAAACGACCCGAGAGCAACCTCTGGAAGCCGTGTGAACAAGTAAGACGAGACAAATGATGGGTACAGGGGTATCCCAGTTCTGCTTTCTCTCATACTAATATGTATTCGCATCCCACAGGAAGCATCACAGGAGAATTGACAAGTTATTCAGTTGCTGGCAGGAGATGTCCGCCAATTATATGATCTTCTCGCGGCAACATTGAGACGGATGAGCTCCGAAAGGTTCATCGGAACCTCCGATCCTCCGGGACATTATTGCGCAGCCTTCCACAGGAACTGTCAAACCCGAAGTCCTACCTATCCAGAGTAACCGTGTTTAGGTTACAAACCCCTCTCTTTCACATCACCTACTGCCAATATCATCCCCAGCATCAACCAGCATTAATATGACCCAAGCATGAGGAAGTCCGACCATCTGTCGTCAAGTATGGGCCAAAAGGGCCCGCCGTCTATATCAAACCCCTCGTCCCTCCGGGTTGTCGCAGGTCGACCAGGGAACAATAGCGACAGCAACAAAAAGAAACGCAATGGGACAGAAAATTTCAAAGATGACATAGACAAAGACCTGGACGAGCTTTCTGAAGAAGAATGGTTCCAAACAGGGGTCGACTTTGTTTTGTCGTAAGTATCCGCATCATTCCCCCATATTTCCGACATTGGGCTCACGAACCTGCAGACTGGAACGGCCATGCCTGTCGCATATATCAAGCGCACAACCCTCGGGCCATGCCGTGTCAATGCAAGGCACACTGCTACAACTTGCGCCCCCAACCCTCGATAGTGATTCGCGATGGCAGGTTTCTGCGGAAGTCTTTCAAAAACTGTTCGAGATGGCAGACAAGCTTGACTTGAACGGGTACATTACGCCCGTCCAAGCGTGGAACAGGATAAGGGACCATGAGAACTTTCCACGATTGACACGTGAGAGGTTGAAAGCACTGGAGAATTCCATGAGGATTCATATCAAGTGTCGGGGGTGAGTAGTTCGCTCTTTTCTCCTTTGATAATTTTGTGTACTGATGTACTGCAGATTCGCAGCAATCATGGAGGAAGCCATCTTCGAGATATTGCTGAACAAAGCTCTTGGTCCGTGATTAATGGTTTCTTCAATTTGACCGAGCTTTGCTTTGATGCTCTGTTCTTTCCTCTTCCCTTTTTCCACTTGTATCGTTTGCGCTCATAGGGCTTCAGGAATATAATTGATGCCTTTGACACCACGTTACTCATGCTGAATTAGTAGAGAAAACCCCCTCAAAAGGCCTGCAATCAAGTTTTATTGGCCAGATGCCTGTCTATTTGCCTATTGGTGCAGACTAAAATTAATCCGAATATCCGTTAGACTGGTAACAAGGAACTAGTAAGTAGCAACTAAATTAGCTAGCATATAATGCGTAAAACTACGCAAACGAGTTCCAAGGTTTTAATTGAGATAAACGACTAGGGTACAGATGAAACCGTCTGCTAAGGATTACTTCATTTGCGTTCATTTTAGTAACCCTTGGTACGGTCGATCGTTGCCCGTTGCTTGTAATGATCTCGACTAAGTCCTTTATGAGCCATGATTATATGTCACTGAAACCTCTGTTGTCATGTTGATATTTTCGCCTTTTGGGGCAATAGGCACTATGATCGCTGTTTGGCTTCCCGTGTCGTGAACAGTCGTATGTCCAATGTCCGTCTGCGTTTCGCCCTTGGAGTTGTCGAAGACCTTGCGGTTTGGAGGCAGGCGTGGGTACGGGATCGTGTTATAATTGTCCGATGATGTGCTGGGGAATATCCTCGTTAAAAGAGGCTTAAGCGCGGAATGGATGCAGCGGTGATAGCGAGACCATCTTCTACAGCAGCCCAGATGAATAAGGGAGCAAGTTCCCCTAAGCAAAAAGAGGAAATTAGTTTGTGACGAAAGTGAAGAAGTGAACAACTAGTGATGTACATGTGAAATCGGATTTGGCCGAGACGCCACGAGGTGGATGGTCTTGACTATGGATGCTGCACCCGCGCTTGAAGAGACAAGTCAGTCAGTATGTGGGATCAACAGTTCAGAAGCAGCAAGACTTACAAGATCCCAAGGCTCATTGCGAAGGCCACACCAAGCTTTTCCTTCTTCCTCATTTGCAAGTTCCAGACAATCGTCCACGGGAGTAGTGCTAGGACGAAATCTTGTGCTCCAGAATAGGCTGCCGGAGAGAATTGGCGCGTTAGTCGTTAATGACACAACCAAAGCAGACTGCTGCAAAGCGAATTACCACCAACGAAGAGAGAGAAATTGGTAAAGACGTGCGACGGCCAACACTCTGATGGAATCATCGGATTCCACAGATGTCGAGGATCCTTGCATTGCAGGAAGACAAAGAGCGCGGCCAAGATCTTGACAATGTTCATTGTAACAATGACGAACCATAGCACGATAACCATCCATCCCTGGACCACGATCCGAAGCAACGTGACAGCGAAGGACGTCTTGCCGAGGGTACATGCCATGATTGCCAGACTTTCGCCAATGTTGCACAAGAGCGCCACCTTGATGAGATTATTTGGGTTCTTCCGGACGATTTCGAGGTGTTATCCTAAGCCCAGGTTTGCAGCGACTTGACACACAGCAGCATATCCAACAAGACAACAATATCAAGGGATCGATGTTAGTAAAATCATCTCAGGTCAGACAATCACTAAAAGAGGAGTTACAATTGCCGCAATTGCAATGCCGTCATCCCAGCCAAATACTCTCCTCATGTAGACTTGCACGTACAAGCGCATCAGAACGAAGACCAAAGGAACCATCGACATCGTCCACATTACACCCTTCACCGTAGGGGCCTGGCTCTCTAGCCGGAGAAGTGCACCCCCGTTAGACGACATCCTGACCGTTCGCCAATGGTGCGCAGGATAACAGTCCGGGGAGTACCCGTAAGTTCAAACAATCAACTTCCCCAGATGTGGGCATGCCACAGATAGTTACAAGCGCATGGGACTGCAGGAGAGTTGAGCATTGTCAACAGGACGTCAACAAAACTAGAACACCAGACCATCCCAAGAACATGGAATATGACAGGGGCGAAGTCCGAAAAAGTCAACATTTGTCACAGGAGTGGAGTTCATATTCCGTAGTTAGGTGCCAGAACACATCCCATCGGCTCAAGCCGCCTTAGCCGCCTTCTCGATTTGAACAAGTCTGCCGTCCATGGACCGTGTATGGACTCGCTTACCATGGTAGTGGATCTGTTAAATCGAAAATAATAACAACAATTTTGCGGGATCTTTCTTAGACGGCTAATTAGAGCCGCTGTCACAAAGCCATGGTATTTCTTTCGGACGCTAGGCCGGCGCCGCTGTAGAGCCAAGGTTGTTGTGGCCAAATTGGGAAATTGGTTTTACGAAGAGCCACTCACGGTCATCGGCAATTAACAACCGACTCCACATTCCGTTCACCACCGTCTGGAGACGACGCTAAATCCCACTTAAAGTTTCCATGCCGTTGGAGAATTGTCAACACTTCTTCGCGCCGTTGACTTTGTTCCACCCAATGGCCCACGTTCTCACGCCTGGTGTTTAAAAAGGAAAGGTCAAATCATGCCCCCCCTTTATCTCAGCAGCACTTGGGCGTAGTATCTCCGAGGGGCTTTAAAAAGCTGCAACTGTCACCGTGTTACCGTCTGGCAAAATCTTGACTATTGGCAGTGAATTGGATTTGGAAGCCCTTGCTGCACTACACATACTTTTGTGTGTGTGTGCACAGAATCCACATCTGCCACGATGTCGGAAATGATCCCTCTTCCTTCCAGCCTGTGGGCCCAGGCCCTGGTCACTCTGGGTCTGCTTGTTGTGATAAAGCTGATTTCGGACGTGTTCTTTTCGCGTTTGAGATCCATCCCTGGCCCAGCGTTGGCCAAGATCACTGATTTTTGGCGCGCGTCTCACGCATATGGTGGACGTATTGATCTGAAGCAGGTTCAATTACACCGGAAATATGGCACAGCGGTACAGGTCGGGCCCAATTGCGTGAGCATATCGGACCCGAATCTAATTCGAACAATTTACTCCACGCGCAATCCATGGAAAAAGGTCGTCTCCCATTCAATACCGTCCTTTTGCACGTGATAATAGGCGGTGCTGACCTGTCGTAATCATGTAAAGAGTGATATGTACCGCCCCAATGATGTGCTGCTTGAAGGCCATCGACTGTCAAATCTCTTCAACACCCAGGATGAAGATTGGCACAACCAGAACATCCGACCTATTCGGGGCCTTTGGTCCATGACTAAGGTTCTGGAATACGAGCCTTTTATCGATGAAACAATAACCAAGTTTGTGGACAAACTAGCGCTGAGATTCATGGATGGTGATAACGCAGGAAAGGTTTGTCCAGCAGATGAATGGATTGGTTTTTGTGAGCATACCCTCAAACATCTCAAACACCCCGTGGTACCCTGCATAGATTAAAATACTAATACACATAGTCGCCTGGGATGTCACCGCCAACTACAGCTTTGGTCGGCACTATGGATTCATTGACCAAGAGAAGGATGTTGACAATTTGATCACGGACTCGACTGCTGGCCTGAGATACTTCGCACCGGTAAGTACCCCGACATCAACAATTCGGCATGAACGAGGGCGACTGACACGTCTCACTAGGTCTCACAAATCCCATGGATTGACAACATCCTCGACAAGAACCCGATTAAGCGAATTGGGCCCAAGCCCACCTTGACAGGTGTCCTGTATGCCTTCAAGGTCGTCGCCGAGTATCAGGCCCAGCTCGCTGAAAAGAAAATATCCGCCGGTAGTGTCGACCACACGCTGGACAAATACGTGCAGCTGAAAGAAACGTACCCCGACATAGTCGACGACAACCAGATTGTCAACTGGCTAATGCTGAGCATTCTTGCTGGAGGCGACACGAGCTCGGCCACCATGCGTGCTGCCGTTTACTACCTGGCCAAGTCACCTGCTGCCACCGTCAAACTTGCCACCGAACTGAAAGCCGGCGGTATCTCTGCCCCCGCTCCCTGGAAGGAAATCCGCGACTTGCCGTACCTAGATGCCGTCATTCGTGAAGCTCTGCGCATTAACCCCGGTATTGCCATGGTCTTCGAGCGTGTCGTTCCAGAGAATGGGTTTACGCTTCCCGATGGACGACATCTCCCGGCAGGAACCAAGGCTGGGATCAACCCCTTTGTCACAAACCGTGATTTCGGCGTGTTCGGAGATGATGCCGATGACTTCAACCCGGACCGCTGGTTACAGGGCAAGGATGAAAGCCCGGAAAACTTTGAGGATCGCCTGCGTCGGATGAAACATACTATCGACTTATCATTCGGTGGCGGAGGTCGGGTTTGCATGGGCCGATATCTCGCTATATTAGAGATCAAAAAGCTGATTGCATCGCTGTACAGCTCGTTCGATGTGAGTGGTTTATTGGCGTTCTTCGGATTCCAGCTTCATGGTGCTAACTAGGGGTATAGATTCAACTGGTGGACCCCAAACATGAATGGAACTACCGAAATGCCTGGTTCGTGTATCAGTACGATATGCCCATGGTCATTCGGCGCCGATGAAATATTGGTATTGGCAGCTTCGGATGGATGAACATCAACAGATACGACGAGGACATGCACATGGAAAAACTAAGCAACCAGAGCGGAATCTAGTAAAGGTCTAATGAATACACGAAAGAGCTGAAGTCGCATGTGATATGCATTGAGTAGAAACGAATTTGTCCATACCGCATAGGGTATCAAAGTCCCAGCCTAGAAAACGCCGCCAAACCATTAAGAATATCCAGGTCCTTGCAAGGTCTCCATGCATCAAGTCATTATGTAGTAAAGGATCGCTGTTACTTCGCTCAAATTTCCGAACTGTCCTGCGTAACTTCATTCAAGCACACCTCGCCGTCCGATCGTGACTGGTAAAGGTATGCGGGTACGTGCGATGTGGAATCATGTCTTGAGCCGCTCGACGGGAAAGCCATTTTCATCCTTAGTCGCGGTTTCATCCTCGTTTTTCCCAACTGGCTTTCCGTCATTGCCTTCCTCACCGGTAATTTCTCCCCAGCCAGAACTTCTTCGAGACATGCGACCAGCCATAGCCAATGGACTGCTAATACCCCCGGCGATACTGGCGGCAGTACTATCATTTCGACTGTGTGATTGGGCACCGCTGCGAATGCTGGCCGTGTCCCCGCTGCCGGTTTGCTTAGTGGTATACAAGCCGCCCCGCTCCGCAGTGGTGCTGGCTAGCGGAATTCCTCCGGAGGCCGAGTAGACACTGATGCGTTCAGCACTAGCAAGGCCAACAATACTTGGTCGGCTCAGTACACCTGACGCATTGAACACAGAGGTATTGGATGCTTCAGTCGTATTTCCACTTAGAACACTCAGCGGCAGGCTCTCCCGACTACCGCCGAAAACAGAAGAGGGAGCCAATCCGCGCACAGATGCATTGGTATCTAGGGAGTTGCGCCGACGGCGCTTAGATGAGCTCGCCAGAGTGAGAAGAGAAGCGTTATCGGTCAGGGCATTGTTGGCGGTTGCGGCGCTGTACGTCATAGCATGGCTTTGGGGCACGAGGTGCGGGGGGACTGCGGTAGCGGGTGAGGTTGAGGGAAATTGGTGGGAAAATTGAATCTGCTGGTTTGAGGAGCTCTGTGTCGAGCTGCCATGGTGGTGTCCATTGTGGTTGTTTTGTGTGTTGTACAGTTGGGTTGAGGGTGCCGTCGAGTGCACAGTAGTCAGGGTAGTGGTCATCGATCGAATCGAGGGTGCAGGTGATGAGAAGGTACTACCCTCACCTCCTTCAGTGCCAGTTGTCAATGTGCCTGCCTTGGAATAAGCCGCTTCGGAGAATGCGGCGTCGCCATTGGTTGAAATGGTTGGCGCAGCGGATTTTGCGCTTGTCAGGGGAGCCGGGTTCTCATAGCCCGAACACAAAGATGGGTCGCTCCTGGAGCGAGATTGTGCACCATAATGGTCATCCGTGTATGAGTCGGTCGGTGTCTGCGTCCCTGTGTCACGGTCGATGGTTCCAGAAAGCGGGTATGGGTTGTTTTCTTGATCGCCCTTCTTGCCCTTATTACCAGCGTAGCGCTTGTTAGACCATCGATTCGTCGTAGAATCAGAGGAACTCTTAAGGTTCGCCAGGCGTTTCACCCAGTTTGAGAATGGACGGCGACGTGCATTCCGGTCTGTTTTGTATGAATCCCTTAGCAGCGGTCCACGATGGACAATAGGCGCAATCTGTACTTACCATGCACCCTAGCAGGACCATCGGCAGTAGCCATTCTAGATTGAAGAGGCAGCCTAGTCACTACCCTCTCTGGCTTGTGGAAAGTCAAAGGGAGGCGAGGGAGTAGAGCCCTGGGGATCCAGCCGCGCCGAGGCAGATGGGGCAGCGGGCGGGGAGACTGTTTATCCGTGCACGTCATGTGCCTGCCTTCAATGTTGCCTCTTCACTTCTATTTGACATGTTCTCAACATGCTGGACGTTTTATTCTTTCGTGAGTCATAGACTGATACCTATCGGGAGGGCTCTGGCAGCGACAATGACGGGCGACCATGAATAAAACTCTTACTTTTATGTGTCCAAAATCCATTTTGGGATCTTTCTTCTTACATCTAGTGGCGAAATGCCCTGGTGAATACAACAACTGCGTCAATGCCTCCTTCTCAGTCAATAATACGAGCGCTACCTTCTGATGTGATTGCAAAGATCAAATCGTCCACATCCGTTGTGCATCTGACTGGTGTCATTCTAGAGCTGGTCAAGAATTCTTTGGATGCCAATGCACAGACCGTCTTCGTCACTGTCGATTTCAAACGTGGTGGCTGTATAGTTGAAGATGATGGCGATGGAATTCCTCCGGCCGAGTTCGAACTTACAGGGGGTCTAGGCAAGCCTCACCGCATGTCTCCCAACCTTGGCGTTGTAATGTATGCTAGCTAACACATGCAAATAGATACATCCAAATTCAAACTGAGTGGCTTGTATGGCCATCGGGGCTTGTTTTTGGCTTCCCTGGCCTCATTGTCTCTGGTCACCGTAACTTCTCGTCACGTTTGTCATGAATGCACGAACTCGATCATACTTCATCACTCGACGCCTGTGGCTCGGCTAACACCTGCACCTTTACATCATGCGCTTCGCTTTTCGGGTCATGGCACGTCCGTGACTGTCAATGACCTTTTTGGAAACATGCCAGTTCGCGTCAAGAGTCGAGCTCTCACTCTTCAGCGGCCGGACGAGCTAGAACGAGAGTGGGACCATCTCAGGAGTTCCTTGGTGTCTCTCCTTTTAGCCCATCATCAATTCACAAAACTAGCCCTTCATGATGGGGAAAGAAATAAACGGATGTCTATCCGTCTTGGAACTGCCTCTATGCCCGAGGCACGCATCTCTCATGATGAGAAGGAGTTTGATCTCAAACGTATCGGGCTGATTCTCACACAATCCGGGTTGATCACGCCACAAAACTTCGATGCTTGGCATGGAATTTCAGCATCAGTTTCTGACCTCATAGTTCGGGGAGCTATATCTCTCCAGCCCAGCCCAAGTCGGAAGTGTCAGTTCATCTCTTTGGGAAAAGAACCCCTTCTATCGCGCAATAGCTCGAACGTACTTTATAACGAAGTGAACCGATTATTTGCTTCGTCGGATTTCAGTAATGTCGGAGCCATTTCCAACAGAAGCTCTGTTCCACATCCTACATCTTCGGTGAATCAGCTTGATGCCCCAAGTAACGCAAGCACTCGAAGCTGGGCAAAACCTGTCAATAAGTGGCCAATGTTCTACATTCGCATTGACACAAACGTCGTTATACGGTTAGATTACAATGCGTCTGAGCATCTTCCAGAATCGGCCAAATCGGTTCAACGCATAGTTGATGTGCTTGGGGCCATGGTCCATGAGTTTTTGAAGCAACACAATCTCCGCCCTCGTAATGGCAAACAGCAGACCATTTCATCAGACCAGAACCAGATTATCCGGTCCAAAGCCTCCCAAGGAGCTGGTAGTTCTCGTGGCCCCCTACGGCATGGTCGGTCCATTGCGAGCACCGAAGAGGCGTTTAGCGGTCGTCTGAAAATTCCCTCATTCCCAAGAGCCCAGTCTCTGAACTCTGGCCAAACCTTCAACAACTGGTCCAGAGTAAAATCCGCTAAGGATCTCAAAAGATGCTCTCCGGCCCGTCGAACGTCTCGGCTTTCTGACGGGACTCCTGATATAACGCAGCGTGAGAGCTCCTTGCCGATTCTCCCTAAACATAGGCCAAACCGTCGAGACGATAGCCAGGAGTGCACCATTCTTCCAAAGCCCCTGGATAAAAGGGTCTCTAGTGAGGACAAGAACAGAACAGATGATCTGCCTGGAGACTCACAATCAGACAAGATGATCACCTGGGTCGATCCACACACCAAGTCGGCCTATATGATCAATCCTCGAACGGGCCAAACAATGAACTCCCGGAAATCATTAGCTACCCAGCGTTCTCCCACTGATTACGTCGATATCTCGTCCAAGCATCCAGAGCAAACTTTTTGGATAGATAACATGTTGGGGGCATGGGACAACCCTTCCTTCAGCCGAACAGAAATGCCAATACCAAGTCTAGGCTCAGAGTTCTCCAGTCAGCAGAATACGATTATTTCTTCGCACGACTGCTTCAAGGGCATTGGGTCGCTTGATACAGCGCAAGTAGCCAAATATCGAGGGAAGGTTCAACGTCGTGCGCTCGAGACTGCCGAAGTGATAGCCCAGGTGGACAAAAAGTTCATCTTGGCTAAGGTCCATACGACTCCCGTCGTTGTCAATTGGGAGGGGCCATCAAACGATGTTCTGCTTCTAATCGATCAGCACGCAGCCGATGAGCGATGTCGAATTGAACGGTTGTTTATGGAGATGTTCCTCTCTGCTGGGCTGAGCGAGAATTTGGAGTCGGGTGCTCGAGTGCGGACTGTCCAAGTCGGTTCTTTGGCATTTGAAGTTTCATCGACGGAGGGTGATCTCTTCCAAAAATATACGAGTCTCTTCTCAGCCTGGGGTATTGAGTATGTGGCACAAGGCAAAACCAACTCTACCGTCGTGATCACCGTCCATACTCTTCCTACCGTAATAGCCGAACGCTGTCGGCTCGAGCCTCATGTGCTGATTGACTTGATGAGGCGTGAGATCTGGTCAAGTGAGGAAGATGGCAGTAAGCCGTTCCAGTCGAAGAGAACGTTTGAAACCTTAGATGCCGACCAGGATATCGAACTATCAGACAGCGATGATGTGGTACACAAAGGAGCCTCAACATCGTCCGCCTCGCGCTCATGGGTTCAACAGATGAATGGATGCCCTCAAGGTATCGTGGACCTTCTCAACTCTCGCGCCTGTCGCACGGCAATCATGTTCAATGACCCTTTAAACATCGAAGAGTGCCAGTCCTTGGTCTCCAGCCTGGCCAGTTGTGCCTTCCCGTTTCAGTGCGCCCACGGTCGCCCTTCAATGGTCCCTATACTTGATTTACGATCACTCTCCAATACTGCTGTTTCATTGCCGCTAGACTTGGATATCAGTGCATCCGCTTATCACGATAACGACGGCATGACTTCGGATTTCGTGGAGGCGTTTAGAACACGTTATGTAACATAGTCGCTTAAGGCTGTTCTATAGGAAATTTGGGAATTCTGGTAATGGGAAATGTATGAAACCGGATAGAAATATGTACATTAGGTGAGACATCAATCAAGAGTAGCAAATCTTCAAACTCAAAGCCAAATCACTTCCTGTCTTTAGCGGTCATTCTGTGAATTCTCTAGTTCATTTTAGGGCTTTCTGGACAACGGGTAAACAAGGCACAGACTCGGCGACACTGGGATAATTTCGCTTGCCTCTGCCTATCATACTTATAACATAAACCGAGAGTCTCAAATCAACTGACATGAGATCCAGTAGTCCACTATGACCTCTAGCATGAGTGCTCAAACCTGTTTTGAAGGTTTCACAGTGATATGATTCCCTCCAACTCAAATCGAGAAACAGAATACACCTTGTGTTTCTAATACATCATAAAACAAACGAAAATTGAAATAAACAATGTCTTGAGTGTTTACGGAGTATGTCCAGCCTAGATGTGACATGGTGACATTTAGCGAGGTGCAGCTCGACACTCTGCATAGTACTCACTCTGTACGGAGTATTCCGTAAGCCTGATAGATTTCACATTCTTGCATGAACCCGCATCAGCCAGATAGATCGTGCAGGACATCGACAGATTCCAATTCGGCCTACATATTTGCATGGGTTTGGCGCTTATGAGCTATCCATAGGCAGTCGCATTACTCAAATACCTTAACGCAGTGGCAGCGGTCTGTCGGCTGGGATATACAGTTGACGGGATTCCATTGCATTCAAATCGAGGTGCTCTGGACGTATCTCCTGCATGGGTATATATCGTCGAGAAAACCCCCCGTAGACTTGGCGGAGCGGTTCATGCAAGGATCAGCCAGCCACGAATATAGTAATAGACGGAATGGCACTGCGACTGGTTTACACGGCCTTGAATAGCAATGGTTTATGGTATAATATGGATATCATCGAATTATAAAAAAAAAATACAAAGCTGGTACATACGTATGTATCTAGTATAGCACCCTTCAAATTGGAACAAACGACAGTACTTCAATGAATCCTACAATAACTACATATCTTTTGGAGAACCCCTGGACGTTCTTTAGATAAGTCACTTGTCAAGAGGTTTTAGTCAGACCCTTCTTTTGGAGCGTACTTATTTCAATAACCTTATTTCCTTTAATTGTTTCACTTTTGGTGTTTGGCCACAGCCTTCAGCATGATGGTTTAGCCAACCGCGAATAAGATCTATGAGCTCAGCTTATATTGTAAAAAGTTTCAGGCCTCACAATTAGTAGGGACCTGATGCATTCTATTTGTGACCCAAACCTGCGCCATAGTTTATGGTATTCGTCGCACAACCAACATTCCCTGTGCTATTTCTCTTTCTCGCTGCTCTAGTTCTCGAAGCCCATCCTCTATTTCCTGCCAGAATCAGTGTTCAAGATGATCTTTGAGCCAATTCGCATCCTCGGTATGCTCACGGATGTGTTTGAGATCCCTGTCCAAGAGCCCCATCGCTTGATGAAGGTCTAACCGAATCTGTTCACGCCTTGAGAGCGGATTCCTCTGGGGTTTAGGTGTCCTTGAAAACGGATAGTATTTCTTGAGCTTATGTTAGATACTTTTGGATTGGGTTAGGTTAAGTCTAGGCTCGCTATATAACCGTTAGCTAAAATAAGAACAACGTTTAAAACGGACGTAGAGTTCTTACAGAGATTCTCCGGTTCATTCATAGATAGTATTGGGACGTCAGCATCATCATCGTTGTGTGGCGCCGAACCATAATCGAGAAGGAAGTAGCAGAGGTGTCAAACGCGAAATTGGCACCATAGGGTTCCCGCATGTCTTTCACTTAGGAGAACCCCCAGACGTCGACTATACGAGGCAAAAACAAAGTTACGATTACGATTGTCCACATAGAACAGTTAAATTAAAGCGTATTTGCATTTTAGGCAGCTTTTTAAGAGTTGCTCCTGTACAGAAGCCGTAGGCAAAAAAAAACGTTGTCTAGGGTATCCGATGTAGGAAAAGCCCAGTTGACAGATAACAATCCTTTTTCCAGTCCTGTCCTTGTTCCCCCGTTCCCAGCCGAAAATAAGAACAGACCAGAGGAATTAAACACGCAAAAACAGAACAAGCCCCTTGGTAAACTCCATTTGGGTAGTCCGGGGCCCCGTTCCATTCATAGCCGCTTTTCAAATGCTACATTTCTCAAATGAGAAATTGCGAAACAAAACAAAACACACATGTACCGCCCAAGAATACAAAAAGTAAATAGGTAAGACAAGAATGATGGGATATTCACAGATCACAAGAGAATCGGTCTGGAGGAAGATGATGCAAGGTATGCATAGTAGAACGGGAGTTAAGATGATGTTGGTTAGGAAACCAGTAAATCGGGAATAAGAAGAGGTCATCAGTCATTAGGTTGTGAAGGATGGGATAGGTGATGGTGTGTGTGGAAGAGAGTGATTTATCCGTGTGTCGTGACGGATTTCGCTTTGGATTGGTTGGTCCATGAGAGGAAGTCGAACTTGTCCTTGGCATTGTCGAGCATGGAAGGAATGGACTCAGACTGGGACTGAAGAGTACTCCCGCTGCGGGAGGGTTCTCTAGGCTCAAGAACCAGAGAGCGGCGGTAGAAAGTCTGTGCGGTTGTTTCGCCGTTTGAGCGCACGCGCACGAGCTCATTCTGCATCCAAGCCTGTAGCTCCGGAACTTCGGTTAGGCGGTAGGGAATCTGGAACCGTTGGAGCTCGCTGATAATTCGAGCGGTCTTCATGTGCTTGTCGAAGTTGATGACGGCCATTTCACTGTCGTCGGTGGAGAGAGTACGGAGGGATTGGTTGCCATGGTCGACAAAGGTGAGGTCGGTCAGGTAGGTACCGACGAACGGGAGGCAGGGGGGCACGTGATTCTGAAGGCGCTGACGAAGTACTGCATAGTTGCGAGACACATCCACGATGCTACGGAGCTGCTCGAGAGCAGTCTTGGTCTTCTGCGATACGATGTCCCAGGTCTTCTTGAGTCGAGAGATCATAGACAAGTTCAACGAGCAGATGATAGCCATAAGGGAGTCGTAGTTGTTCAACTCCAGGCATTTGTTCGCAATCTTGACCCAGTGCTTGATGGTCGCGGCACGCTTTTTAGGCTCCTCGAGGTACAGAATAGAGTCAGCAACGAGGTGCGCAAGATCAGTCGACAGAGTTGACATGGCGCGAACATTCACAGCCAACGAGCCTGTCTTTCTGGTCCATTCCGTGTCTAGGAGTTCCTCGGGAAGGATCGAGCAGAAAATGCGCGACTCTTTAATAGTGAGTTGGCGGGCGAGCTCGAGCGGGTCAAAGTCAAGAATGGTTATCGAGGCTTCGCCGTTCTTCCATTGCCGAAGCAAGTTGTGCTCCTTCTTGCCAAGGACGGGAGGAGGTAGGGGGGTATCGGGGTGAATGTATTGGGCAATTGAAGTGTTGGTCTTGCCCATAGAAGAAATCAAGCGAGGCACAAGAGGGCCACCAACTGCGGACACCTTGTTGGCCAAATCAAGCAGCCGCTTGCCAGCAGTGGGGAGATCGACCATAAGTCGTGTGTTTGCGAAGTTGAAGATGAAATCAAGGGCCGTGTTGTCACGATCGTGGCGCCAGTGGGACTCGAGCCAGCCCTTAAAGATGTTGTATACACGGAGACGGACGGGTCCGGCGGCGTGGGGTGTGTCCCCAATGTACTCGAAGCGTTCAGCGAGGGCCTGGGCAAACTCAAGAGGCGTAGCAAAGAGACGGAAGGTAAGGTAGAAGGTTGAGACAAACATGGCATCGGGGGTGGATTGGTGAGCAGTCAGCTTCTCAATAAGAGCACGCAGACTGCCTCCCATCACCGAACCTTCCTTGTAAATAAGTTCGTGTGCGTAAGTCTTTTCCAGGATGTTGGCCTCAGTCTCCTCGTTCTCCTCGGCGAGAGTCGAGTAACTCAGACTCTCCTTCAGTGAGTGAACCGTGAAACTACCTTGGAAGCTACCCCCAATATCAGGTGAGGTAGCCCGAGTCGAGGTTTGCGAGACACCACTCATCTCCGAGTCACGTGTGTGGCTGTTATATGTGAAGCTGCTACCATTGCTTGTGACTCCACGGCCAAATGATTCGCTCACATCAGACTTGGGATGACTTTCACGGTAGTTACTGTCAGTGGAGGAGAAGGAAGAGATGTTCTCCATGTGGGTGGGGAGGATGGCAGAATTGGGTGTTGAAGAAATGGCGGTAATGTTGGCAGGAGAATTTGAGAGATGGGACTGGAAGGATGAAGGTGTTGTAGAGTCGGTGAGAGCAGGTGTTGGGGGAGAGTACGTGGTGCTAGGAATCTGAAGAGGAGGTGGGGGGAGGCGGAGTGACAACTCCTGTCGCTCCTGTTCTACGCGAGTCTCAGATTCATCTTGTGGAGAGGCAATGCCAGACAAGTCCTGTCCCCTCTCTTCAAAGTGTTCAGGGTCAAGCTCAAGGTCACCAATTTGCTCAAGCACCAGGCGAGCCTTCGCCAAACAGTTTCCAGCTGCTCGTACACAGTCAGTCGCAGCATCCACAAGGCGTTTCCCTTCGTCTGGCATGAACACAAGGTCATCGTCTTGGTGTGCAGGGCGGAACACGTCGCGCGCAGCGTGGACAAGCTCAGACAGCTTCTCACACATTGACTCTCGTGCCTGTTCGAGAAACACGCTGCGATGCGTGTCATGCTCGCATACTACCTCCACGACATTTAACAACTGCCTGCACGACTGGACAGCCTGCTGGGTGGTGACAACCAACTCCGTCGAGGAGCGGGACTGCATGTGGAGCCCGATAAACGAGCCAAGCACGCCGAGGAAGGCATCATATGTTGTTCCTAGGCGTTCTGATGCCAGATTCTGGGCACCGATAGTAGTAGAAGGACCGGAAACTGACATGCGGTGAGATATAGAAACCCGTTTCGTAGCGACGGAGACCGGTCTCTGATCGACCATCTCAGTGCGCATCGACGACCGACTCATATCC